TTTCTAGGTTTTGTTTGGTTGTTTTTTGAGTAGAAGTTATGAGAATGAGAGTTTGAGTTCTAATTATGTCTAAATAGTATCTTTAACTTGATTCATCAGTGTGGAGAGGGAGACTAGCACTGTATAAAGCTTTGTATTTGTCCAGTGGTAGGCCTTGTAAAAGTGAACTGTGAAGCTTGTAGATTTTTGAGAGAGTACAGTTTTGGTTGTGTTATCCTTCTGAAATGGTAGAGAATGATGAAATTGAGAAATGAGGATATTAAGTTAAAATTCTTTTAGAAATGGAAATATAATTTGGTTTCATGTGTTCTTTTAAGCACAGTGGTGATGCATCCATAAATTATTTGTAATGATTTTCATCTATTCACAGTTTTGATTTAAAATGTATAATTCTCTTTCAGAATCAGTATAATCTAGCAAGAGCCCAACAATCCTATAATTCCATTGTACAGATACATGAAAAAAATGGTACGTTTAATTCCATAAGTATTTATTGCCATTTATGAAGTTTTACATAATGTACTGTTGATGTTTCTCCTGTTTTATTTTTCTGTTTTTGCTTCAATTTCTTATAAAGTAGTTACCACAGTGAAAACATTTAACTTGAGGATACATAAATTGTGCTTCATTCAGAATCTTTATATCCTAAATACTTGGCTTAAGCACCTCTGAGTCAGAGTCAAGATTTTTGAGTAGATTAATGAATGAATCAATTTACTCACTTGAAACATATTGTATTAGGATAGGAACTGAGTTAAAGGCAACTTTACAGTGGAGTACTTATTAATACTGAGTTAATACAATCGGCATCATGAATCAGCTGCGTCTGAAACATCCTCAAACTACTTAATGCTTTTTGACAGTTGTACACATTTATCTATTCAAGTGAAAAAGTTCTAATTTCAGTATAGACTTAAGAGTATTTGAGTTGTAAATTAAAAATAATTCTTAAAATATGTTTCATAACTTTTATTGGCCTTTAAATTTTTTTTATATCGACAGTGCACATTTTGAGTTTTTGTCTCTAACAGTGAGGTAATAAAACAAGTAGACTTGGAATTAGAAAACCAATTTTCAGGTGCCATTTGTGTCACTTATTAGCTCTGTGGTCCAGATCAAGTCCCATTACCTCTCAGCCTTAGTTTCCTCATCTCTAAAATTGGCATGATGTCTGTCTTGCCAAACTTGTGAGAAAAACAAGAGTAGTGTGTATGCATAGCACTTTGTAACTAAGTGTTGACAGTAAGAAAGATACTCACTGTAGCCGAAGTAGTGAAACTGATGCTTTCTTTGCAGAGGAAATAAATTAATAACAGGAAGTAGTTTTCCTTAAGGAGAGTATTTACCAATAAAGTATTCTTTACTTTGCTAGAAATGTAGTAGCTTGTGACTTAAGACTTGTATTTTATCCTCACTTTTATTTTAATGAGAAAGCAAACTTGTCACTTTTTCAGTGACTGTTGATTTCTGAAAGAATAGTATTCAAAACAGTTTTCAAGCTTCTGAAGAGGGAAATGATAAAACTTGTAAAAATGTTTATGGAAAGTACTGTTTTTGAGAAAGTGTGTGTGTGTGTAAGCTTAGCTATGGTGAAAGAGCAATAGATTCAGAATCAGGAGATGGATTCTAGTTTGGCTTCTGTGGCTAAAATCTGATCTTAGGCATAATCACTTAGTGCACCTGCTGAGATGGCTTCCTTACTGGTGAAATGACATCATTGCACTGAGGAAAGTCCAAGTTCCTCTTAATCTAAAATGTCAGGATTTTGTTTGAGAGAGAGTTATTTTTAGTGAAGTTTACTTTCAAATACAGAATTGAAATGCAATATAAAAGCTAGCTTATAGGCTGATATTCCACACTGTCATCTTTAGCTGGAAATGCTGGAGATCTTAGGTCGAAACTCAAGTACAATTTATTCATAGAAAATAACTTTATATTGTGAATATATCAAAATGCTGTGTTAGCAACCCCCAAGTGGAGGTTTAATTTTTACAGCCGGTTTAAACATGAAAATTATGAGTAGAGGAAGTAGGTCACGTTAATAAAATGCCATTTCTCCTTGGTTTAAGAATTAAAGTATTTTAACTTTTTTCCTATTCTATTTCAGGCTGGTACACCCCTCCAAAGGAAGATGGCTAAATGTGTTGACTGTGTATGTTTGGACCAATGTTGCTTTAAAGAAAATCGTTCCAACATGCAGACCCAAGCTTTGAGTGCCCCTGTAACAGCAGCACTGAAGACGTTAGCTAATAGTTATTTTAGTGGATAATCTGTCAACTGACATCCCATATAAGTTACAGCCTTTTCATTTTGCTCATTTGAGGTATCTTGGACTGAGCAATGGGGCCTTTATTGTATTCTTCCTGATAAATACACATACTGGTCACTTCTTATCTCTTTTTCTTGAAAAGTGAGATCTGTTAAGCAGGCAAGTCAGCATCGGTTTACTGAAGTTGCGACTTAGGGTAACTTTCCCATATTGAGCTCATATGTTACGAGGACTTGCAATATATTGTTCCATTTAGAGCCAATAAAAGTTTGATGTTTAATATTGGTTTAGAAAATTTAAGATGTTCTAAATCACAGTAGCGTTTTCAGGTTAAAACCATTTTATGATATTGCCAAAATAATGACAGGAAACCTACTCATTAAGTTGTTAAACTTTTTTTATGGCTATGTGAAGATATGAACTGTTTCCTGAAGATATACTCTTAACTGAGTTGTATTGTACTTTTTAGGCAAAGCAAAGCAAGGCTATGCCAATTAAGGCTTGTAAGTAGTAATTTCCACTGGGGCATCCGAGTCTTGCTGGGTTGACTCGGCTTCTTGTTGGTTCAATATTTCTTAAGAAGAGCTGCAGTATAGAGCTTAAAGTTATTTAAAATATTAAGTCATTTTACGTTCCCATTTTATTAACGGGATGTTGCAATCATTTGTAAACTAATAAACTTATAAAGTGATTGGCACGAAGACTCCTTGAGCAAAAGCTGCGCAGTTAAGTACAAAAAGATATCTAATTTTGAGACTTAAAATTTTTGCTATAGTCATAAGAATGGCTTTTACTTCGAAAGACTAATAGGAACTCTGCATATGTTAATTCTTTTATAAAACGTGACTCAAATCAATGTACTCTCCATTTTATTGCCTTACCTGAATCAGTCCTGTTGGTAATAGATTTTTTTATATACCCAAATTTGATTTAAAAGGAAATTCTAGTTATTAAGCACTTTTAAAAAGCAATCCAGAAGCACATTTTTCTGCACAAACCAGTTACAAAGTTCAAAAGCATTTCTTAGGCATTTGCTTTAAGATTCAGTTTTTAACTTTGTAAACCGTATCCGAGAGACATGGCACTTCTGCATTATTCTGTGTGTTTAATTTCTTTTTATTCTATTTTGGTTAAAAAGAGAGTAGACAAAGATTTTCTGGCATTCTTGTTCACTTGGTTACATTTGTATAAAGTTTTGATTGCCAGTTGCTCACATCACAAGTGACAAGGCAGAATTCTTTAAAGCATTAAAGTTCCTTAAACCTAAGGCTAAATCTTGAATACATTATTGAATTCTTTAATATCCTGATGGCTAGCAGATTGACAGCTGCACATTTGGCATGCTTTGTTTTTTTTATTTTTTCATTGCAGATTTATTTGGCAATGTACAATAAATTTTGTAAACTTGCATCAAGTTTATGAATAAAGAACCATTTAAAAAGTAATTTCGTCACCTTTCCCTCATAAGAGATAACTTTGCTTCAGGTGTCTGTAGGCTCTACTGAGTTTCTGGAATAGGATTTCCTATGGTGGAATGGGGTGAGGAGAGGGAGAGAAGCAGATTGATTTAACAAGAAAAAGCTACAGAACCCAGAAATGGTGTGTGCAGACTTAGTACACTCAGATTTTCCTTAACCTTTTCCCTCTCCCACATTCATTCTTTAATGTAAATTCAAGTGCTACTTTCTTCATGGCTGTCCCTAGTTCCCCTAGTTATGATAATCTGCTCCCTCTTTAGTGGACCCATGGCTTCCTTATACACGGTTGTCAGGATTTCTCACATAAGTGGATACACCTGTCCACAGGTAGGGAGACTCCAGGCATGGTACATCTGTGCTCTGCTCTGTTTCTTTGAGATTTTTTCGTGTTGGTTTCATCTTTGGATTGAATGTTATGTCTGGATGTGCAGCCACTTTAATCTGTCTAGAGGTGGATAATGGGCCTGTCTTCTAGTGTCTCCCTAGGAGGTGAGGAAATCTTTAGAAGTCCCCCCTCCCCAGCCTACTTTTCCTTGGTTAGAACTGGGGCCTGTGTCTACCCCTGAACTAATGGCTGAAAAGAATGAAGCCATCATGATTTGTTCGGGCAAGTGGTCTTCAACGTATGATTTGGGGAATCCTCGAGACTCCTAAGACCTTTTTAGGAGGTTTTGAAGGTCAAAACTACTTTCCTAACACTAAAACATTGTTTGCTATTTTGACTCTCATTCTCCCACAAGTGTACAGTGGAGTTTTCCGGAGGCTACGTGATGTGATATTGCAACAGATTGAATTCAGAAGCAGATCCAGCTGTCTTCTATTAAGCCAGAAATCAGAGGTTTGCAAAATGTAAAGATGCCACATTATTCACTTTTGGTGGTGGGGGAGATTTGGCAAACTTGTATGATAAAAATATTCTTCCGTTAATATGTAATGGATTTATTATTTTAAGTGAATTAATATTAAAGTGTTTTAATTTTTAATAAGGTTAATGTTAATATTAACCCACATAACCCACATAAACAAGCTCTTTAGAGTTGTCAATGTTTAAGAGTGTGTAGGAGCCCTCAGGCCAATATGTTTGAGACCGTCTAGTTTGGACTAATCAAGTTGACCTTCAGGAGCTAGGGATCAAATCAGCAAGGAAGCAGCGAGAGGAATGGGTGTTAGTTGGGGATACGGCAGTGTCTGCCGCCAGTCCTCCAGTTTTTGCTGAGGAAGGCTGGTCCTGAGCTAACATTGTGCCCATCTTCCTCCACTTTATATGTGGGACGCCTGCCACAGCACGGCTTGCCAAAGCGGTGCCATGTCCGCACCAGAGATCGGGACCAGTGAACCCCGCCTAAGCGATTCTGCGCGCTTAACCGCTGCACCACTGGGCCGGCCCTGCTGTACTTTTTATCTGTGGTTCTCAGCCTGAGCTTGCATCAGAATCACGAGAAAGCTTAAATCACAGGAAAGTTACACCTCAGACTGCTGGGCCCCACCCCTAGTATCTGATTCAGTAGGCCTGGGGTGAGGACCAAAAATGTGTCAAAACTTAATAGTTCCCAGCTGACTCTAATGCCACCTGTGAGGAACTAGAGCAGTTTGGGACGTGCTTTCACAGTAATGGTAGGTGCTCTTTATGCTGTTTTACACATTCAGAACGTGAGGGTTACAACGAGTTAACCACGTTCACAAGGTGTTGACTTACTGTGATTTTCACACAGTTTTTTTAAAGCAGGTACTGGCCGTTCAAAAATTGGGTTCATGCTGTTAAGCACTGGGACTGTAAAGACCACTATTACCTAAGCTCTGCCTTCAATAAATCATGAGTTAGAGAAAGATGTGTGCCGACAAAGAGAATACAGCGCGGCAAGCGCGGTGAGGCAGTGAAGGAGGACTGTGGGAGTCATAAACGTTCAGGGAGGAGTGCAAGACGCTTGGCCACGGGCTCCGAGCACCAGCAGGCGCTTCCAGACCAGCGCCGGAAACCTGGTGGCCTGGGGTCACGTGGGCGCCTCCGCAGCAGCCCCGCCTCCCTGGCCGGCCGGAAGTGGCGCGCGCGCCTGCTCAGTGCGCGCGGGCTGGGCGGTCTCGTGCCGGCCTAACCTGTTCCCGCGGAGCTGCGGTACTGCCTTGCCCGGACCGGTTGGTGAGGCATGGAGCCGGTGGGGGGCGGCCGTGACCACCGTGGCTCCTCCTCCGCAGACCCACGAAGCACCTTCGTGTTGAGTAACCTAGCGGAGGTGGTGGAACGTGTTCTCACTTTCCTGCCCGCCAAGGCGCTGCTGCGGGTGGCCGGGTGAGGAGAGAGGAGGCGGGAAGCTTCCTTACCTCGGGACCTGCCGGGCTTGCCTGGGCGGGCCGGGTGGGCAGACGCCATCGGGACCCGCGGCGGCCCCGGCTCTGTACCGCTGCCCTGAGCTGACGCCCCCATCTGCCAGGTCCGCCTCCCGGAGCGCTCCGGGGGACGACTCCTGGAGAAGCAGCTTCCCTCGAAGGTTTTCCCCGCCCCCGGCTCGCGCTCCGAACCAGCGCGCCGCCACCTCCCCCTCCGGGGACTAGATCCCGCAGGAGTCTCCCGCCGCTGCGCAGACGGGGTGGGGGTGGGGAGCCGCGGCAGAGCGAAGGGAACGTGCGCTCACGAGCCTTTGTGCGGTTTCCTCCTCAGCGTGTGCCGCTTGTGGGGGGAGTGTGCGCGCAGAGTGTTGCGGACCCATCGGCGTGTGACCTGGATATCTGCGGGCTCCGCGGCGGCTGGCCGCCTGGAGCAGCATTGCTTGGTCCGTGCGGCGGCAGAGGAGCTTGAGGCAAGTAAGAAGGGGCGTCGTGCACGGGCCGTTGCAGGCTTGGTCGATCTTTGAGCGCTAAACGTGTGTGTGTGTGTTTTTTTTAATCCCAGTTTTGTATATGGCCTAATTCTTTGTAATATAGGGAACATTTTCTCATGACATGAAAAGATTTTGTAAACATCAGTTTTAATGACTATATATTATAAGGATGTGCCATAGTTTATTTGACCATTTTTCAGATATTGGGAGCTTTGTGTATCCAGATTTTCACTATTGTAATAGCACTGTGCAGAAGCTTCCCTTTACCTGCTTTCCTTGAAGCAAGTATCGTTATCACAGTTTTGCAGGGAAGGTGACTGGGTTTCTCTTGCTTCGTGTAACAGGAAAAAGCCAAGAAGCAATAGTTAAACCCAGTATTTCATCCTCCTTTCCTGTACTCTTTGGCATTGTATCTCTGGGCCCCAATTTCAAAAGATGGGCAGTACCTGGGGAGGTAAAGACTTGAACTGTGGAGTCAGAGGGGCAGCCTCGTGAGCACAGGTGACAGTGAGGCTGTGGTATCTCACTTGAGAGTGGGACGTAGCCATTTGAGAGTAAACTGCCAGCCTGATGTTCTTTGACTTCCTTATACTTTAGCACGCGTTATATACAAGCAAGAACATCCTACAGAACCATGATACAACCTTCAAAGTCAGGAAATTATCGATACGTTTCTGCCATCTAATCCTCAGGTTTTCACAATTGTCCCACTAATGTCCTTCATAGCTAAAGAATTCAGTTTAGCATCTTATGTTGCTTTTGTCATGTTTCCTTTGTCTTTGGTCTGGAACAGTTTCTCAAGCTTTTCTTGAGTTTCACAACTTGGACATGTATGTAAATTACAGGCCAGTTATTTTGTAGAACGTCTGATGTTTCTTAAATTCTGATTATGTGTCTTTGGCAGGAATATCACGGTCTTCTTGTTGCATGCTATCAGGTGGCATCTGATTTCCATTTGTCCCATTACTGGTGATAGTACCTTTGATTATTTGATTAAGGTAGTGTCTGTCAGGTGTTGCTACTATAAAATTACCCTTTGCAACTGTAATTATTAAGTATTTTGGGGGGAGATACTTGGAAACTGTGTAAATATTCTGTTTCAGGTTATTTATATCTGTAGAGACTTTCAGTCTATTTTATTCCCTGGGATATAATTTCTTACTATCAGTATTTATTTGGGGCCCACATTGTCCCGAATTTGGCTAGTGGGGAGCTCCTTCAGCTGTCTTCAGTGTCTTTTTTATATATATTTATGGGAATTCATGAGTTCATACAGGTATATCCAATTCCAGTCTGACACAGGATTCTTTCCAGTTTTCTCTCAGCTCATATTTGTCCCTCCCTTTTGGACGATGAGAAACCTGGCTCTCATCATTCTTCATATATTTAGATGTTAGGGGAATGCCGCGTTAAGTGACCAGTCTTCTGTTTCCCCCTGGTCGTGTGGATTTTCTCCTTACCCTATTGGGGCTCTGAGACTCAGATCCAAAGTGGCCAGTATCCAGAGGCGGGCTTTCAGGAAAGTTTCTTATTTCCACCTTGGCCCAAATCCTGCCCAGTCTGGAAATTGTGGGGGAAATTCAAAATGTGGGCAAAGCCTTTTTCATAAGGATGTTTTTGCAGCATTATTTATGATAAGGGAAATTGAAAACAATTTAATGTTTAAGAAATGAAGTCGTTCAATGATAAACTGCAAGGTGCATTAATGACAGGAGAAAATGTTAATGTTACAAGTGAAAACAGATCATGAAATTATGTTTGGTATAATATGTATTATTTAAAACAAGAAAGGAAGAGTAAAAAAGAAGAAAACCAAAGTGTTAGCAAAACTTTCCTTCGTGAGTAGAGTTGTGTGGTGTTTTTTTTTGTTTTGTTTTTAAAAACTTTTTTTCTTCACATTTTTACAACAGCAGTTATTATTTTTGTATAGCTTTAAAAGTTAATACTTTGTAACAGCTGTTATAGTCAGATAGACATAGGTATGAACCCAATTTTGGCGCATACCAGCTGTGTGACTTTGAAAAAGTTACCTAACCTCTCTGAGCCTCAGGTTCTGTCTCCATAAAATGAAAATAATAATCCCCCTTAAAACGTTATAGAATTGTTGTAAGGGTTAAATAATGAAAATGTATTGCATATAACTCATTACCTATAGTAACAGAAATATAATGTTTTAAATAATTGAAATTGTTATTTTCTATTATTAATGTCATTATTAAAATTCATATAGTAATACCCTTAAAGAAGTTTATACATTGTACTAAACTCTTAGTGTGGTCAGAAAAAACATGGAATCTTTGTCCAAATCATACTGTTTTCTTTATGTTTGCCAAATTATCTAGTGGTCGTGATACTTCTGTAGCCATAAAGGAAGTTGATTTAACTTTTTTCTTTTCTCTCTCTCTCTCTCTCTCTCTTTTTTTTTTTGATGAGGAAGGTTTGCCTGGAGATAACATCCATTGCCAATATTCCTCTTTTTCTTTTTTTCTGGCTTGGGGGAGCTCAGCCCTGAGCTAACATCTGTGCCAATCTTCCTCTACTTTGTATCTGGGAGGCCTCCACAGCGTGGCTGGTTAGTGGAGTAGATCCTTGCCTGGGATCTGAACCTATGAACCTGGGCCACTGAAGCAGAGTGGGCAGAACTTTAACCATTCAGCCATGGAGCCAGCCTCTGATTTAACTTTTTTATTAGAAATATTTTGAAGTCCACTAAAATTTTTGTAAAGCATCTTGCCATTTGGAACTTCTTTGAATAATGGAATGGTGTTCTAGTTGTCTTACATTGACCTTTGAGAACATGTCATCTTAATGATTGTAATTGTTATTGCTTCTAGTGAGAATTAGGAAGGAAAATTCAGCAGTTTCTTTTCAGTGGTTACTCGAAAAGAGAGAGTCATAAAACATCAGGACTAGACTTCCAGTCTCTCTACTCACTATGCCAAGGGCCAGAAAGGGGAGTGAGTCCAGAGTTAGGCAGGTGGGTCGGGTGGCTCAATGTAGCAGCATAGGGAGGGGTGGCCCATGGCAGACCAGGGAGTGCTTGCCTCTGTTTAGCCCCAGTTAAGGAGAATGCAGTCTGGTGTTGCCAGAATGTCTAGTTTTTAAAAAGAATCTAGAAATCCACATTTTATGTAAATATCGTGTGGAATTTTAAATGTTGGCAGCCAAATTATATTCTTTGAAAAGGCTATATGAACCAAGGAAACTATATCCATAGGTCTTATCAGCTCTGAGGCCCCCACAGGGTCATCATTCTCAGTGTCTGAAACATCTTCACATTCCCCCAGATTACAGCGGATCAACATTTTTGCATTTAGTCAACATTGAGGCTTTGCTGTATGCTAACTAGTTCATTCCATTCTGACAGTAAAAGTCTTTGAAAACAACCGACTTAGAAGGAAAAATGCATTCACCCTTATCATTTAATTCAACCGCTTTGCCACTTGTCTGTAATAGGAAATTTAGTGGAAAATGTGAGTCTAAATAATCCCAGCTCATAAGTGGAGATGAGGCACAAATAACCATGACTAGATGTAAGGGATGTCACATGTAAGGTCCAAGGTGCCGAGGGAGTGTCAGAAAAGGTTTCGCAGAGGAGGTGGCACTTAAGTTGTGTCTTGGGGGAAACAATCTTAAATCAAGTGTGAAAGGAAGAGAGCTGCAGGAAAATACATAGAAAAGTGTGTGTGTCTGGTTAATAGTAAGTGAAAAGTCCGTCTAACAAAGTAGTTGGTCAGGTGGGAATGAAGGCCTGGAATATTTAATTTGATAGGCAGTGAAGAGAGCAGCGATACAGTCTGTGTACCTTCCCTCTTGCTGAGATGTTACTGTGATGCCTATTCAAATAAAGCAGGTGGCATCTTTTGCTGTTACTTAATGTTTTTGTTTAAGAGCTTGAATTCTTTTGAAAATGAACTTCTTGAGTCAGGCTGGAATGAGTTTGACTTTAAGAAGTAATAGATGCTCAACAAATGAGTGAGCTGAAAATGAAAGAGCGCGAGTGCAGAAAGAATGGGAAGTGGGTGGACTCAGATGCCCACACTGACCTAAAGGGCAGCAGCAGTTTGGACCAGGGGAAACTTTAAAGGCCATGAGAGCACTCATGGATGCGTGTGATCCAATTCTGATTTCTGTTTTTTTTCTTTGCAGAATGTTCACATCTTACCACGGACAGTTCTTTACATGGCTGATTCAGAAACTTTTATTAGTCTGGAAGAGTGTCGTGGCCACAAGAGAGGTGAATATCAAAAGAAAAGGTTTTGGATTTTTTTGTTTCCTTATATACCTTCTGTTTGGAGTTAAATATTGTCCTACTCCTGTGAGTTACTGACTTTCTGAGGCTCTGGGCCTCTCTCTATAGAATGCATGAATATCTTTGAACCTTGAAGAGCCCTTTTTGCTTCAAGGATTGATTTCTAAACGTTGTAGTACAATCGAAACAAATTCTTTAGAAAGGTATTTTTCTAATTTTGAAATACTTTAATCCTCCAGGCACTTCTTTTTATTGTTAAAACAGTGTATATCTTTGGCTTTTCAAAGCTTTTGTTGTGTCGGGTGGTGAGGACCCATTTGCCAAGGTTACCTGTCACTATTGTGTCATCTCCTTAGCTTGCACACTGAGGCCCCGAGTTAGACTTAGATACTGTGTTTGCCGTGTCTAATTTGACTGCTCCACGTGGCTGTTGGTGTAGTCAGAAAGTCCTGGCACTTTAATATCAGTGGAACGGAAAGGTACAATAACAAGTCTAGAGTTTAGCTGCTACTGCTAGATTTAACATCCTTGGGGCAAAAGCAGTATATGAGCAAAACAGGAAGGCAAACTGGTGATGCTGAAGGTCAGATTTAGAATTTAAAATATAAAGCAGGGGCCTAAAATGGGAAAAGGTTTGTTTTCATCAAAGGTTTTAGAATTCCTAGTAAAGGGTTTCGGTGTAAAATGACTTAAACTTTATTCAGTATTTGCTTTTTTTTCCCCACATCATGAAATTTGACCTTAAATGAATGATATTTAATAATTTTGCTACTGTGTTACAGCAAGGAAAAGAACTACCATGGAAACAGCATTTGCCCTTGAGAAGCTATTCCCAAAACAATGCGAAGTCCTTGGGATTGTGACCCCAGGAATTGTAGGTAAGAGAAGATACTTGATGATTTCCTGCCTTTCATTAATGTGGGGTCCTATAGATTGGTGCATTATTTGTAGCTTAAGTGCACATTTATATTTTTGGCCATCCAGAATACAGTAAAGTTAGTCATGTTTACCGTGGTATTATGTTTGACTTATATTAATGTTCCTTAGGTTATTATGGTTCATATTTCAAATCTCAGGGCTGTCTGTATAAAACAAACGTAGTTCATATCTTTCCAGGCCCCATTCCTGAGAAGAAAAAGGTCACATTCTTCCTCTTTCCAAATTAGAAAGCATTAGGGAGCATTCTCCCTCGGTCAGTCCAATTGGTAGTTTCTGGTGGGTAGGGGTGAGGTGGGACTGGGATTGCGAGCCACAATGGGTTTAACTTTTGGATTTTTCTTAAACTAGTGATAAATAATTTTTGCTATTACTAGTTATTCACAACTGCTTCTACAGAAGCATAGCTGTCGTTGCTTACATCACTTTCTTAAGCCTCCTCACCCCACCCCCTGGGGCTTCCTCAAAGTACGACCAAGTTTTTTCTTTTTAAAATTACGGCTGGGGGCTAGGAACAGGAGTAGGAGGGCGGGCCTAGGTGACATTGCTGCCTTCTGTGACCCGTTGGGAGGGATGGGTGGTCTCCCTGAAGCCTGCCTTCTGTGCTTGCCTTATTCTGAAGCACTTTTCACTTTGCGCTTCTGTTCCTCTAAGTTCTCTTTTGACCTTGATGTGGGGAGTAAATACCATTCCAGCTCCCTTTAGTCAGGACTTGTCCTCTGGTGTTTTCTTGGACCCGCTCCTCACCCTTCTCTTTTTCTGGTTCCCCCACAGCTAGGTACTTTCTTTGGGTCACTTCCACGAATGTTCCAACAAAATTTCCACCAAGACTGTTGATTAGGTTCCTTTTTCTTAGGCCACAGTTAGTCATTGTTTCTAAAACAGCCATCGACTACTAGCCTGTCTTCCTTCTTTAGGTTGGAAAAATTGCAAGTTTGAGAAAATTTGTTCATTCTTATATGTACAGAGGGCATTTTCTTTCTTAATTGAGGTAAACTGTACTGTGACGTGCACAATCTCAAGTGTACAATTTAATGAATTTTGACAAATTTATTCCCTTGAGTAACCAATACGCCAGTCAAGATATAGAATATTTCCCTCACCCCAGAAAGTTCCCTTTACCCTCTTCTGGTCAATCCCTGCCTGCCGTGGGAAACCCCAGTTCTGGTTTCTCTGGCCATAGATTAGTTTTGCCTGTTGTTGAATGTCATATAAGTGGAATCATGTGGTACATACTTTTTTTATATCTTGACTCTTTAACTCAACATAAATATATATATATATGTATATTTTTTTGGTGTAGACAATTGGCCCTGAGCTAACATCTGTTGCCAGTCTTCCTCTTTTTGCTTGAGGAACATTGTCACTGATCTAACATCTGTGCCAGTCCTCCTCTATTTTGTATGTGGGACACTGCCACAGCATGGCTTGATGAGCAGTGTGTAGGTCCATGCTTGGGATCCAAACCCACCAACCCCAGGTGGCCAAAGCAGAGTGCACAAACTTAACCACTAATGCCACAGGGCCGACCCCTCAATATAAATATTTTTAACAACATAATGTTTTTGAGATTCACTTAGTGTATCACTAATTCATTTTTTAAAAAGAGCTTCTCGAGTAGTATTCTGTGATATAAGTAGACTGTGATTTGTGTTTCCATTCTTTTTTTGATGGAGATTTGCATGGTTTCTGGTTCCTGGCTATTATGAATGAAGCTGTTATGAACATTTTTGTATAATTCTTTTTGTAGACATAGGTCCATTCTTGGGAAGTTACCAAGAAGTGGAATTACTGAGTCTTAAGGTTGGTGTGTATTTAACTTTATAAGAAACTGCCAAACAGTTTTCCAAAGTTATTCCATTTTATCCTCACCAGCCAGGAATCAGTGTTCTGGCTGCTCATTGCTCTATATTCTCACCAAAACGTAGTGTCTTCAAATGAGTCTTTGATTTTAGCCATTCCAGTGGGTGTGAAGAGGCTTCTTAGGGTGGTTTTAATTTGAATTACTCTAGTAACTAAATATGTTGAGCACGTTTTCATCTGTTTATTGGCTGTTTGTGTATCTGCTTTTGTGAAGTATCCAAGTCTTTTACTGATTTTTTTCTTGGATTGTTTTCCTTTTGTTACTGAGTTGCAGCTGTAGTTGATATATTCTTAGACAAGACCTTTATCAGGTATAAGTGTTGTAAATATTTTCTCTCAGCCTGTTGCTCTCTTTCCATTTTCTTAACAGTGTCTTTTGATGAGCAGTAGACTTTTATTTTGGTGACATCCAGTTTATTTTCTTTTATGGTTAATGTTTTTTGTGTCCTCTCCAAGAAATCTTTGCCTACCCCATGGTCACAAAGAGATTCTCCTATGTCTTCTTCTATAAACTGTATAGTTTTAGCTCTTAGATTTAGTTCTCTGACCTAACTTGAATTAATTTTTGTGTATGATGTAAGATAGGGAGGGGTCCAAGGTTAAATTTTTTTCACACGTTTATCCACTTATTCATTACCATTTATTGAAGACTTTTCTTTCCTCACTAAATTGTCTCAGCATCTTTGTCAAAAATAATTGTTATGTTGCTGGGTGTGTTTCTATATTTAGCTCTGTTCCATTGACTGATTTGTTTGTCCTTAAGCCAGTGCCATTTTACTCTACGTCTTGATGTTCTTTTTAAAAACTGACAACCGTAGATCTTGGTGTTCTGTTTTTTAAAATTGCTTTGACTGTCTAGGTCCTTTGCATTTCTACATATATTTTAGAATCAGCGTGTCAGTTTCTATAAAAAGCCTGTTAGGATTTATTCAGGTTGTCTTGAAGCCTGCTATGGAAATTCTAAAAATTGCTTTTATGTTTTGATGTTTTTTGTGGGAGAATGGGACCTTATAATAAACTCTGAAATTTTATTTTCCTGTTTTTAATTAGAATATGTTGTCTGAGGTTTGATTTGATTCTGAAATTTTCTCTTTGAGTATTAGTTTTTCATTTTGCCCTAGCTTTGGTTTCTAAAAGGCTTAACATTGTTTTTTAAAGAGTTTATTTCTTCTTTACTCTAGTAGTAGTCATTTATGTTAAAAAAAAAAGAAAAATTATAAGATACAGGTAAGCAAAAAAGAAAACAATTAAGCACCTTTAAGCACTATAGAGTACACCACCCTATTAATGTTATGATGCATGACCTTCCAGACTTTCAATATATAGCAGTATACATGGATATATATGAATACACACACGTGTGTGTGTGTGTGTGTGTGTGTATGTGTACTTTATATAATTGCCAAATATTTTTAGGATATTTTTTAAAAATTTTTATTGAAATTATGATAGTTTACAACCTTGTAAAATTTCAGTTGTACATTATTGTCGGTTGTGTTGTAGGTACACCACTTCACCCTTAAAGCCCACTCCCCATCCCCCCTTACGCCTGGTAACCACTCATCTATTCTCTTTGTCTACATGTTTAACTTCCACATATGAGTGGAGTCATACAGAGATTGTCTTTCTCTATCTGGCTTATTTCACTTAACGTAATACCCTCAAGGTCCATCCATGTTGTTGTGAATGGGATGATTTTATCCTTTTCTATGGCTGAGTAGTATTCCATTGTATGTATATACCATATCTTCTTTATCCATTCATCAGTTGATGGGCACTTAGGTTGCTTCCACGTCTTGGCTGTTGTAAATAATGCTGCAATGAACATAGGGGTGCATGGCACTTTTGGAATTGCTGATTTCAAGTCCTTTGGATAGATACCCAGTAGTGGGATGGCTGTGTCATATGGTGTTTCTATTTTTAATTTTTTGAGGAATCTCCATACTGTTTTCCATAGTGGCTGTACCAGTTTTCATTCCCACCAGCAGTACATGAGGGTTCCTTTTTCTCCACAACCTCTCCAACACTTGTTACTTTTTGTTTTGGTTATTTTTGCTGTTCTAACAGGTGTTAGGTGATAGTGTAGTTTTGATTTGCATTTCCCTGATGATCAGTGATGATGAACATCTTTTCATGTGCCTATTGGCCGTCCATATATCTTTGGAGAAATGTCTGTTCATGTCTCCTGCCCATTTTTTGATTGGGTTGTTTGATTTTTTGTTGTTGAGCTGTGTGAGTTCTTTATATATTACGGAGATTAATCCTTTGTCAGATATATGACTTGCAAATATTTTTTCCCAATTAGTGGTTTTTTTTTTGTTTCAATCCTGTTTTCCCTTGCCTTGAAGAAGCTCTTTAATGATGAAGTCCCATTTGTTTATTCTTTCTATTGTTTCCCTTGTCTGAGAAGACATGGTGTCTGAAAAGATCCCTTTAATACTGATGTCAAAGAGTGTACTGCCTATATTTTCTTCTAGAAGCCTTATGGTCTAAGGTCTTAGCTTTAGGTCTTTGATCCACCTTGAGTTTATTTTTGGGAGTGGTGAAAAAAGAATGGTCAATTTTCATTCTTTGGCATGTGGCTGTCCAGTTTTCCCAGCACTATTTGTTGAAGAGACTTTCTTTTCTCCATTGTATGCCCTCGGCTCCTTTGTCGAAGATTAGCTGTCTATAGATGGGTGGTTTTCTTTCTGGGCTTTCAATTCTGTTCCATTGATCTGTGCACCTGTTTTTGTACCAGTGCCATGCTGTTTTGATTATTGTAGCTTTGTAGTATGTTTTGAAGTCAGGGATTGTGATGCACCAGCTTTGTTCTTGTTTCTCAGGATTGTTTTAGCAATTTGGGGTCTTTTGTTGCCCCATGTGAATTTTAGGATTCTTTGTTCTATTTCTGTAAAGAATGTCATTGGCATTCTGATTGGGATTGCATTGAATCTGTAGATTGCTTTGGGTAGTATGGACATTTTAACTATGTTTATTCTTCCAATCCATGTGCATGAAATATCTTTCCATTTCTTTATGTTGTCATAGATTTCTTTCAATAATGTCTTGTAGTTTTCAGTGTGTAAGTTTCATGTCC